AAAGAAAGTTAGGAACATTACATTATTGTGCAGACAAATGACAACTCATGACCAAATTTATGTGGGATCATATCATAAATCCTTTGAAAGAAATTTAAACCAACTTGGCTAAGTTAGGGAATCTTCAAACACCAACCAATCTTTCTTTTTAATTATTTTCTTAAAAAATGCTAGCTAAAAGTTTATGAAGTGACATGCTACATAATATGATTTTTAGAGGTCTATGCTAATTCACCAAACACTAAACTAATAAAGTTAGTGTGTGTTTAAGTTATAAGCTGAATTTAAGTTCTTACCAAACATAAATGAAATAAGAGTATATTTAAGTTATAGGTTGAAGTTAAGTTCTTACCAAATAACATTCAGTTCATGCTTTCGATGTTTCTAGAATGCAAGATGATATTCTTCCTTTGAAGATCAATAGACGAGGATACTTATAAACTGAAATGTTATATTAAAAAAAAAAAAAATAAGTAAGAATTTCTTTTAAAAAGGTGTGACAAGAATTTGTTTCTGATGATAGCCTAAAATTCCAAATTTCCAATGTTTAAAATTTTAAATGTCCAATGGTGATTTAAATTTTAATTGGCATCTAATAACTATGTACCTTTTGATGCTTTTCATGGTATTGATTTATTTCGTTTCCATTCAGTAGTTCTTTAGTGCAATGTAGTTGAGGAATTAATGACACCCCCTATCCATTTGTCTAGACAGTTTACATATTTATTCCTCCTTATTATTTAGACAAAATTACTCCTTTTATTTCAAATTATACTTTTTTTTTGCACGTTTCTAGGTTTTTAAAATTCTGATGGTTTTTATATTTAATTTAAATTTTAATTTTGTAACCAACACATCCTTTGATATTATCCCACTTTTTTTCTCTTTTTCTTTCTTTCATCTCTTGGTTACGTTTCTTCTTGTTCCTCTCTTTTTGTTTTTCTTCTCAGCTTTTTGCGTGATGAACTCGTCTTCCCGGTAAGTGAGCCTTTAATTTCACCCAATTTTTTTTCTTCCCTAATTTCGATGTACCATACTCTGTTTGTATATTTTTGTGGCTTAATTTTTCAAATTTTATGTTTTATTTAAGTACTTGTTTTGTTTTAATTGACAAAATTTATTGCGGGCCAACGATTTGATAAATTTGGAGTGGCTGTCTCAATACATCGACGACAACTCCACGGCGGGTCTCTACTTGTTATGTCCGGTCAGAATTTTACCGCCCTAAAGAGCCGAACACGTGAACCGTCTGGTCCATAAGATTAGCGTCTCGTTTTTTCCCTTGTTGGTCCTGAGAAAACCGAGGATCTAGCTCCCGATGAGGCCGCGTGCGCAGTGACAATACTGGGTGTGCGGGTTTGAGAAACCGATGGTTCTGGAGGCGAATCGGTTCAGTTGTGTAGGAAAACTGTTGATAAAGCGCCGAAGTAAGGCGCCAACAAATGTTTAATATTGGTGATGTACGGCGACCTGAAATTGGCAAGTTGAGACGGTTTAGGTGGTGTTCGATTAGGTTGAAATTTGCTTTTATGTTTCTTTGACAATTTTGTAATATTTTTTTTTTTTGGTAATTGAGAGTTGTTTTTATGTTTCTTGGTAATTTTTATGTTGTTGTTTTATTGTTACTTCATTTATCTTTTTTGTCCTTGGTAATGAATCAAAATGAGATTACTGTTAATGATTCCTGCAAGTCATAAAAAAAAAATTGCTATTTAATTAATTCGTTTATTGACTATTAATTTCGAACATAAATGAGTTGCTGTTTTTGTTTCTATTAATTTTTAATAAAGCAAAATTTATAATTTACAATTATAGTTGGCACCCTTTAATGCTTTGTAATCTTTATGTATATTAGATTCCAATTTCCATAATTTTTTTGCTGGCCTTCGTTGTTGTCGGGAGCATGTTTCTCCTTGATTCATTCTTTTTTTTTTTTATGTTTTTTTATTTGAAAATAAATAACTGCCATCAGTTTTTTTATGTTTTTTTTTAAACTGTCACCTAGTTATGTTTTTTTTTTTTTTTAAATATAATTGTGGCCACAACTTGGAGTAGAAATGGAAATCGTCAGTAGCAGTATTTGTTATGGAATTGTATTCTTAAAGAGGGTTAGTTATGGATTTTCGCCTGTAGTTGAGCTTAAGCTGCAGGCCGGAAGTTTAAGTGTTGGGCTTACATATATTTGGGCCGTATTGCCTATTATCCTAGCAAAACCCCATGGGCTATTTCTGAGACAACGGAAAAGTAAGTAGTCCTTGACGGGCCCAGGTCCAATTCTCGTAAATAAAATGAAATTTGTTGAATGATAACCCATTAACATTAGAAAATATGATGCAGTCTATTTTAGTGATCCACACTGCGTACAACCCATCAAACTATCAAATTTTATTGCACATTATTTCAAATTTTTCATATAAAAAAATAAAAATATACGCACAATTTTTATAGATCAACAAAGTATCACACATAGAGCTGGAGAAAGTGACAACAAGAAATACTAAAGTCTAAACAAAAGAATACTTGCTGAGTCACACATATAAATCTGCATCAATAAAACTTTTCCCCAATAGGAAAAATCTGAATTACCATCAATTTACATCTCTATATATTATTGACTAAAATAAAAAACAATAAAAGCTAGCAAGTATTTATTGAATTTACTACAATTATCAAATATTAGCTTGAAAAAAAGTTCCAACTTGTGTTCCCTACATATTAAATCCTCCTCTTTACAAGAATTGGATATTTCTTCTGAGTTCTTGTGGTTGGGAAGAATATCACTTTATCTTCTTCTGCAGGCTCCCAACTGCACTCAAAAAATTCAAGTAAAAAAAAAACCCTGATTTTAAAAAAATTGCACGATATCGAAACGAAAAAATAAAATAAAATAAAATAAAAACGTTCTTAGCAAATAGTCAAAGACGAATGTTGACCTGAATTGGGTGACTAGTCGATGGAGAAAAACCGAGAGCTCAACCCTCGCCAGCTCAGCGCCGGGGCATCGCCGGGGCCCACCTCCAAATGGCGTGAAAACATTCGCCACGCCATTCGAGCCATTCTGTTAGGGAATGTACAAAATAAATATTTACTAATATACTACCAAAATAAAAATCGAAGACCGATAAACTAAACTGAAAATTAAGCCAAAATCAAGACCTGCCATCTCCACGGATTAAAAGTTCGAGCATCTTTAAAGTGTTGATGATCCATGTGTACGGCTCGAAGGGAAGCAAACACTTTCCATCCCTTAGGAATTGTAAAACCTAAAACGAACATTTCGAATTTAGNCCCTTGATGGTAACATCCTGCATGGCTCGTCTAAAAACACCGCTGATTATGTTAGCTACACGAAGGGTTTCATTCACGACCTGAGATGAAAAAAAGGAAAATTCGAAACGAAAAAAAAAATAAAAAAATTGGTAAATGCATGTCAATATCAATAGCTATTAGAGATCAATTAAGAAAAAATTGTAGCGAAATTTGGACATTAAATATGAACATTACACATTGAGTGAAGGGCATGGATTTGCAATCTTCCCACTCAAGAGAATTAATGTCACCTTTTTTTGCTCTGATTTGATCATGCTCTTCCTGTGAATCAGATTAAAGAATTTGATTAAGGTTTGTTTATTTTCTAACAAGAAATGTGTTTTTTTTTTTTTTAACATTTATGTACTTAAAACTCTTTAAGAAAATAACAAAGTTATTGTTACTCACTCATGTGGTTATGCATGATTAGTGACTAACTTATTTACCCCTTGTGTTAAAGAGCTGTAAATGAGTTGAACTCGTGCTCGTTAATTAATCGAGCTGATAAATTAGCTCAAGAAGCAACTAAATGATCATAAATTAACCCAACACTTTAAAGTTTAAAGCAACAAAATTCACTATTTCAAAGGGTGTTGATATAGATTTTGGAACTGGATCATATACCCTTCATTATATTATTATTTCCTTC